TATATTAAATATATTTTAAAATATATTTATAGAATATAGAATTTATATATTTTAATATAGAAATATAAATATGATTATAAATAATAATAATATATACTACTGTTTAAAAGTTTGGGATCAGTACGATTTTTTATGTTTTTTTAAAGAAATATCTTTAAAAATACAGTAAAAACAGTAATATTGTGGAAATAAGTACATTTTAAATTTTACTATCACTTTTTTGTAACAATTTAATCATTGCTGAATGAAAGTATTCATTTAAAAAGAAAAAGAAAAAAAACTAACCCTAAACTGTATTTTGTTACAAAAGATTTCTATTTTGAATAAATGCTGTTATTTTTTACTTTTTATTCATCAAAGAATCCTGAAACAAAGTATCACAGGTTCCCAAAAAAATATCAAGCAGCAAAAATTTTTAAATAAATCATGATTTGCATATGATTTCTGAAGGATCATGTGACACTGAAAACTGGAGTAATGATGCTGAAAATTCAGCTTTGCATCTCAGGAATAAATTACATTTGAACAGATATTCAAATAGAAAACAGTTATTTTAAATTGCAATAATATTAACATTTTATTGTACTTTTGATCAAATAAATGCAGCCTCGGTGAGCATGAGAGACTTCTTTCAAAAACATAAAAAATTCTTACCCCAAACTTGGTAGTAAGTGTGTATATCAAAAACTATGCATATATTTATGACAGTGTGATAGTGTTTATAATCTTTGATGCATTTGAATGCTGTATTTCTTTTGTAGTCGTGCGCTCAAGGCACTGTGCCGTACCTGGGCATCTTCCTCCGAGATCTCACCATGCTGGACACTGCAGTCAAAGACAGATTAGAGGTGATGTACGGTTCACAGCCCGCCATGAAACACGACTAACACAACTAAGAAAAAAAGAGAGAGAGACAAAACAGACAGTATCAGCTCATCAAGCTGTGAAGTATAAAAAAGCAGTGGTTTCACAATGTTTGTCAAAGCTCATCTGACAGAATCAAGATGTGTCAAACAAAACTATAAGTCAACATTGCATTGGCCAAAGCAGGTTGTAATGTAAAACTAAATGTAATGTCTCTTACAGAATGGCTTCATCAACTTCGATAAAAGACGACGGGTGAGTTTATGGTGATTATATACTTGATTGTCATTCTTTTAAGTTGTTTAAAAAAGTATTAACATCACATTCTCTTGATTTCAGGAGTTTGAAGTCATTGCTCAAATTCGCCTCCTTCAGTCCTCGTGTAAAAACAGCATTTTCAGAACCGATGAGACGTTTGTTCAGTGGTATCACAGCGCACCTTCTCTGCGTGAAGAGGAAAGGTCTGTGACATTTCTGTAACTCTATTCTGAACATCTCAGATACACCCTGATTAAGTTTCAAGATGTCTTTGTGTTTTTTTAATAGCTATAAGCTGTCCAATCAGATTGAGGCACCGGGCGAGCCGAGTCCTGGCCGTGGCCTGAACCCTACAGTGATCATCACACAGTGTCCAGAGTAAGACATAACTGAAAACTGAAATAAAAATAAATGAAACCTAATTAGCAATATTTATAATTTTAGAAAATATAGGCAATGTCCACATGAACACGGGTATTTTTATAAACTGAATTTTTCCTTCTTCCGTTTAAAAAAAAATGTCCATCCACATGAAAACGAGCGCTATTGGCCAATGAATTGGCGTGATGGTATAAGGGCTTCAGACATTGTTTGTTCAGTGGTATCACAGCGCACCTTCTCTGCGTGAAGAGGAAAGGTCTGTGACATTTCTGTAACTCTATTCTGAACATCTCAGATACACCCTGATTAAGTTTCAAGATGTCTTTGTGTTTTTTTAATAGCTATAAGCTGTCCAATCAGATTGAGGCACCGGGCGAGCCGAGTCCTGGCCGTGGCCTGAACCCTACAGTGATCATCACACAGTGTCCAGAGTAAGACATAACTGAAAACTGAAATAAAAATAAATGAAACCTAATTAGCAATATTTATAATTTTAGAAAATATAGGCAATGTCCACATGAACACGGGTATTTTTATAAACTGAATTTTTCCTTCTTCCGTTTAAAAAAAAATGTCCATCCACATGAAAACGAGCACTACTGGCCAATGAATTGGCGTGATGGTATAAGGGCTTCAGACATTCGTCACACCGGAGGTGTTCCCATAGCGATGACGCCATCGCAGCATTGAAGTGAACCTATGAAAGGGAACGCAAACGCATGCTATGAAGCACTGTCAAGAGCATGCCAAACCAACAGGTGGCGATATAATCTCAGCCGTAAAACCATGTTGGCCAATCAGAAGTAGTAGGCGGAGATAACAGCGCAGGCTCCGACGTCAAAAGCCAAAAACTCCTTCGCGGTCTACACACGATAACACTGCAACCAGAGTTTTTGAAAATCTTCACCCTGGCAGGCGTTTTCAAAAATGTTTGGTTTCAGTGACCTGAGGCAAGTTCAAGCTCAAACCGGTATGCACCGTTTTGCTACGGTTTCCGGTTTTAACGACATGTTTCCTGGAAACGGTGTGCAACGGGATTTGAGATGTGTTTTCTCTTGTTTGGTGGGTGTGTTAAACATGTCAGCCCAATCAGCAGCAACATGTGTATAAACCACGCGGTATTAAAGAGACAGCTCGCACAATGTAATTAACATCCAAATAAACTCACAAGAGCAAGTATATTGTTTACACATGTTTATTTACATTAAAGGCAAAATAACTGAAATAATAAGGGCACAAGTATAGATCTGTAACTTCTTTAAGGCTGTCTAAATATAATTTAGTAATTGCAATGTCTTCTGGTCCATATCCTTTCCTTAGGAAGGTGTGCTAAATACTGATTAATGTAACATAAAAATACTATACATATTTATATATTTTGCTATTGTATTATGGAGTGACACTTTCATAAACTTTTCTATACCCCTCTGATTATATAATGGTAAATATTACAATATCATAGCACAACAACAGTGATCAGCAATAATGATAAGCCTAATACTCACAATAAAAGTAATAAGGCCATATAAATCATAACACAGTCTTGGAGGTAAGAAGAGGATTACCCTTCACCTGAAATGTTTGTCTTTTCATCCTGAAATGCGAGGCAAATGTTGGATCACAATAATTAGGAACCACAGATTCCACAAATCCCTTCATTTGATTGGGATGTTCTCTTTTATTCTGGAGGGCAAGGGCAGTGACTGTAACATTGAGCGTATTTTGCAGTATTAAACACGTATTTATACCGATTTCATCAGGCTCTGAAAATTCTTCAAAAAGAACACAAAGAATGGCCTTCTCAGCTGCCATAGTTGCAACTCTTGCGTCATCAGAACAGGGTGTTCAACGCATCACCGTTTCCGTTTAAAAAAACGTTTCGCACCGTTTTTGTCGGGGCTGAACGCAGCCCAGGTGTAGAAAAAGCTGCGGTTTAAAAAAATAATCGCGTTCGTGTGGACAGGGCCTAAGATAAACTTTAAAAAAATGCATATCAAATTGTACAAAACACTATTTTATTTGTTTCCTAAAGTACTTCACAATCGACAACACATCATATTCTGAAGCTGTGATTTAGCATCAGGGAAAACAAATCCTGGTAATCCATAGTAATGAATCCATAGTAACCCATTCATTTCCTATGGGGACAACAAACCTGTCCGTGTTAGGATCTATGTAATATGGCCAGCTTTTAACAAGTGACAGATGAATTAGTACCATTTGAATTCAGTAGCGTTTGACTAGATGCACAGACATTGCCAAAGAAACAGGAAGAATTTCATGTGCTATACACTATTATGTTATTATTATTTGCATTCAGCATTGTTTTTTCTCTACTGAACTGATTTGCAACACATTTTTGGGTCACAACCCACCAGCTGAGAACACTACTATATAGTATGATATGCATTGCTCTTATTTTGTGATTCCTGGGCTCAATTTTTCAACGATTCAAATGACAGTCTTCCTGTTGGCTATTCTGAGGATCAGGCTCAGTCCTTGACATGCACACACAGATGTTTCTTTCATGAGCTCTTAAGCACCATAATGCTGCTTGAGCTAAATTAAATTAAGTTTTAAAACAGGACAAAGACACAATTATCATCTGCAGTTAGCGTGTGACTTCAAAGCTACTGCTGCTGTGGGTTTGGACTGGAGTTTTGTATTTATACTCTGGGTTTCAGTCTATTCAGAAAAAAACTGTCATAAGCAGCACATGGCAATGAGCCTCCAGTTTGTGACATGATCGCTCTGTTCTTGCGTTACAGTGCTCTCTCAACCGTGGCAAATACAACCATGGATGCTGATGGGATATTTGACTTCCCGTCTCCTGTCAATCACCTGCTGTCCAAGTTTTACAAGGTTAGGGTGAATAAAGAGCTTTATTTTGATTGCATTGCAGTAATGGCTCTTCAAGAGCCCGGCTTTTATCAGCAACTTATTTATTATTTGAGAGCTCACTGAGGATCTTTATAGCAAAGCAAGTTGCTTTTTCGAATTGAACCATGCCACGTTTTTATTATGCAACACATTTTTTTCTTACATGAAAATTCGCACTGCCAGATAAAAGTTTTCTCACATGAAAATTCAAACTACCAGATAAACGTTTGGACACATTTGACTGAATTTATGTTTCTCATGATCCAAAAACCTTTTAATCTGAAGGCTTGTGTTTAAATGCTTGAAATTAGTTTTATAGAAAATTATTTTATAGAAAACAAGTCTACTTATGATTTTTTTTTTTTACCAAAAATTTTAGAAATGTATTATTTTTTTTAATGGATGAGCTAACATCCGTGGTGGAAAATTGATCCCATATTGTTCACCTAAAAATAAAATTCATCATTTACTCACCCTCGTGTTGCTCCAAACATGTATGTCATTCTTTCTTCTGTGGAACAGAAAAGCAGATGTTTCGCAGAATGTCTGAGCTTTAAGAATACATGTGAGCAAACAGATTAAATAACCCATAGACTTAAACTGAATGAGGAACCAGAGTATAACAGATTTGAAACAGGGCTATTTTGATTTAAAACTTTGCAACACCCTACTTTGTTTGTTCTTTTTGGTATTTGACAGGTTGTGGTCAATTTATGTTTCCAATGTATGGAAAAGATCATTATTTTTGCGAAATATTATATTTGGAAGGACATAACAGTGAGCAAATGATGATATCATTTTTATTTTTTGTTCAACTATTCCTAAGAATATTGTCATAATTAACTATTTCAGCATGTGAAATCCCCATCTGTTTCCTGTCTGGATGTTGATTCGTCACCGCCACCCAATGATGCCACACCCTCCGTCCTGACCACACCCACTACAGCCGTCAAATCACATCGGCGGTCTGTCTCCTGCGGCAATAACCCCACCAATAACAAACGAGAGGCGGGGCCTGATATGAGAATCGCCAGGATACGGATGGATTTACACGACGGCAACTTATACAGAAGCATTCTGGTAGTCTAGCAAATACACATTTTTAAATGAGTTTAAAAAACAACAACAATGTGCTAGAATTTGTGGCTTTGAAACGGCTGTATTTCACAGTGCCAGTCCAGTGTTACATCAGACAATCTTTGGCATTTCATGGCAGCTTCTGTTTAATATGGATGCAGTCGCTCTTTGTTCTAATGTATACTTTCTTTTCTGTGCTGCCTCAGGTCACCAGTAATGATAAAACACCCACTGTAATCAGTTCTGCATTAGACAAGCACAACCAGAATGCTCAAGAAGCCTCCAAATATGAGCTGATCCAACTGCTGCCGGAGGGGAAAGGTGATGTCACATTTTTCATGTCATACAGTGCTGTGCATTTTTTTTTAAAACACAGCATAAAATGCAAAAACCTTATTATTGGCATACTGATTGGACATAGTGACATTATAAACTTATGATAAAAAAATATATATATACTGTATATAAATGAATATGAACACTACTGTTCACATGTGTTTTTTAAGAGATTAATATTTTTATTCAGCATGGACACATTAAATTGATCAAAAGTGACAGTAAAGACATTTATGTTACAAAAGATTCCTATTTTTAATAAATGCTGTTCTTTTGAACGTTCTATTCATCAAAGACTTTTTTCAACATTGATGATAATAATAATACATGTTTCTTGGTCATCTAATCAGCATATTAAAATTAATTCCGAAGGATCATGTGACACTGAAGACTGGAGTAATGATGCTGAAAATTCAGCTTTGCATCACAGGAATAAATTACATTTTTAAATATATTCAAAAAGACAACAGTTATAATGTTACTGTTTTTTACTGTAATTTTTTAAAGTTTAATTTAATTTAGCATTTTTTTATTTAAAAACTGCAGCCTTGTGAGCATAATAGACTTTTTCCCAAAAAATCTTATTGAGCCCAAACTTTTGAACAGTAGTGTATTTATACAGTATATAAATACATATTAAACATATTTAATTATATTTTAATTTAATCCAAATTATTTATAGAAATATATTTTCCAAAAAAATGAAACATTGTAACAAAATTATTTAAACTGATTACAGAAAAAGCACATCACTTTTTACTTGTTTTTTATGGTTTTCTGAGTATTTCTTTGTCTTTCATTTCTCCCTCTGCAGAGTTAATAATACCTCCCACAGGAAACGTCTTCTATGCCATGTCTTCAGCTAGCGTAGACTTCCTGTTAAGGAGAAGAGGAGGAAATACACCAACAGGGTCTCCGAATCTTGGCAACGAAACCAGCGCAACCTTTCCACGAATCAAAGCCAAGGGCAAAAGACTAGTCCGGACACTATTTTAACATAAAAACAGGATATTCACGTCCAAGTACTTTCAAAAGAAAAGACACAAAATATTTCATTCAGAGCTCTTTGACGTAACTGTAGAATTTACTCAAATAAGTCATTTTCATAAGTCCTAATATTAGTAATTTGAGTGAAAGCTTGGTTAAAATGGCTAAAAAGGCTTGGTAACTAAGATGTTAGTTACTGCTAAACGTTGCACTGTTTTTGCATTTCATAAATCCATGAATTTCAAGACAGAATCACGTACCTTTTGCTGATGCCAGCATTTCCAGTGCTTCCCCTGTCTACCTCTAAAGTTAGCAGTCCATTGGTTAAAGACTGTTGTTCAAAATCCTGCATTATTAATGAACATCAAATGGAGATAGAGCAGCTAAAAGATCCCAGCATAATTAAATAAACACTTACAGAAGGTACTTACACCTGTCTAACATTTCAAAACACTGAACTGTTCTGCGTCGGCAAAAAGCGGGCAAAAAGCTACTGAAAAAAACCCCACCTACCTGAAGATGAGTTGCAAAAACCATTGCAGCTCTAGAATGTCCTCACCAAGTATGCAGCTGATAGTTGCTTACTATGCGCTTTCTCTTTAAATATTAATTATGGCTATGGTATATGGTTATGGTGACTCTGTTCCAAAAACAGAGTAAAAAAAAAGTTTGTGTAAAACAATCCAAGGCAACAAATTCATAAGTGACCAATTTGAAACACCCTTCATTGGCAGGCCGAACAAGGGAGACTTTACAATTGATTTCAGTTGTTTGTTTCTATGGTGACAGCACAATAATCTAGTAAGAATAATAATCCACTACTTTTCAAAAGTTTGGGGTCAGTAAAATTTTTCGAAAGAAATTAATACTTTTATTCAGCAAGGTTATTATAGTTAACTAAAACTAAAATTAGAACCATAAAAACATTTTCATTAAAATGTTAACAAATAATTTTTTATATATATATATATATACATATATATACACACACACACAGCTAACTGAAAGGCAACATTTATAATTTTAATAAAAATGTATACAAATTGTATAGACATGTATAAACAACTACTAAAATGACCTACTACATTTGCCAAAAGTTTTTTTATTTTTCTAAGATGATAACTGGTCGCCACATGCAATGTGAAGAGGCCATGTGACAACAAATGTAGGATACTACAGTTCTGAAAGCTTATCTTGGAAAAAAGGCAACTGTTTCAATTACTCTTTAATGAAAATAGTAGATACATTGAGCAAGTAGTAAGTTAGTATTCCATTCCGATCATGGTCTTTGTTTTTGGTCGTTGGTTTGTTAAGTGCCTTATTCTCAGGTGCTCTTGTGTGATTGTTGTTCCGGTGTGTTGCGCAGTGAAAAGCATGTTGCAGCTTCAGTCCTGTACCGTCAGATCTGTATTCTGTATCTGACACCTTTATGCACTACATACCTCCTATTCTTGTAATAAACTTTAATTTTGATACAACTCACAGCTTTCAGACCCAATTCTTGCTTTCAAGATCTCATTATTTACCTGCCACAACCAACTACTGTTTAAACTAGATGTCACATGTAGGTACTGCACTCACAACAAGCAGAAATAGAAACATTTATACCGACAAAAAAAATGTCAGATTTTTTTTTTTGTTAATTCTATTAATTTCCATGACACTTCATGGCTTTTATGTATTTATCATTCTACTGTTGCTGGACATATTAATAAGAACATATTGACTAATAGACTAACTAAAAGGTACCACAGTAATATAGTTTTCTGTACATAAACCATGGCCCGTTTAGGTTGGCATCAGAGAGAGAGAAAGCATTGTGTGTGTGTGTGTGTGTGTGTGTTTGCAGTCAAATGAAATGATCACTCTCTGATTGCTTAAGCACTTGTATCCCTCCTACACCAATGATAACACCTAAGTGCTGATTATGAGCAGCTGCGTTTGGGTAGAAGAGAGCTTTACAAAGCTCCTGGGATGATGGGGTTCTCAGTGTTGGCCAGTACACAGTTGTGGCTAGCTGTTTGATTAGTGTCCTGCTCATTTTGTCTTCTCTGCAGCTATAAAATAAAAATAAATCATTTATTTATTTAAATAAATTATATAATTATTACACTGTTAAAATATTGTTTTCTTTTTTTAAGTTGTGAACATTATTCCCTAAGTGCTGATTATGAGCAGCTGCGTTTGGGTAGAAGAGAGCTTTACAAAGCTCCTGGGATGATGGGGTTCTCAGTGTTGGCCAGTACACAGTTGTGGCTAGCTGTTTGATTAGTGTCCTGCTCATTTTGTCTTCTCTGCAGCTATAAAATAAAAATAAATAATTTATTTATTTAAATAAATTATATAATTATTACACTGTTAAAATATTGTTTTCTTTTTTAAGTTGTGAACATTATTCTAATTTATTTGTAAAGAAGTTGTAAGATTATTGGGGTATATTTTACAAGAAAAGTGAAAAGTGTTACATGTTTATTTGTAATTTCTAGTTTTTTTAATAAAATATTTTTTTATAATATGAAAAACATGGGTGTATATATTATATATTTCATAAAATATTTTACGTTTTATTTATAAAGAATTGCAAAAATTGCAAAGAAACAACACTGCATTTAATGTGAATTAGTCTGAAATAGTACTGAATTTAATGTGAAATATATATATATATATATATATATATATATATATTCAGCTTAGGCATGACAGGACAACTTTTGAGTATATTTTACTGTATTTTTGATCAATTAAAAAAAAGAAAAAAACTTTTAAATGGTAATGTATACTATACATATTACTATTATTATTATTTACACTAATCTCCCATTTTCTTTGTTTTAATGTACTGAAGTTACAGTATATTTATTCATTTAGGCCTCTTTTTGAGCTCACTAGTGGATGCTTTAGTCACCCTGAGTTATTCAGTATATTTGCAGTAGCCCTGAATTTGTGAATACCTAAAGCAGAAAAACAAATGTAATTACAGACACATGAAGTGCTTTTATTTTCCTCAATGTAATACAGCAGACAAAAGCTGAAGGATTAAACACATCTTTACTATACACATCCCAGCCTTATTCCCATAATGCACTTCTGGCTTCTTGAGGTTCGAGCTAATGTGTGGAGTTCCGATGCCACTCAAGACACCTAATTGCAACACTGTCTCAAGTTTGAGGTTTGGCTACCCGTTTGTTTAAACAACAGTTTAAAATTTGATTCAAAATAGACATTATTTTGCCTTATAGTTTAATCCTGCAGAAATTACACTCTCACCTTCTAACACTTATTTAAAAAAAAAAAGTGATCATAGCACAAGCAAATATTCATATACACAGATTTAAAAAAACAAAGCTGTACCATATTAAAATCAAATTTATAGCCAGTTTTGCTGACGTTATTATACATGAGATGAATTTAAGATTGCAATCATAAATGTACACTCCTGTTGCTTTTGCATTTAAATCAATTACCTTATTATTGCCCTAAAATTGCTATATATATATATATA